AGAGGGCGTGCAAAAACACTACCCCATTTAATTGTAACTTAATACAAACCTTAAAGTACTTAAACTGATGATGTCATAGCGTAACTAGACATGATTGTTACAGGCAGAACTATACGGAGTTAGATCTTGGGAGAGATTAGTTTAACAATTAATAGGCAGCCACTGTGAAGAATTCGGGGCAAATGCTGTGCAAAAGAGCCTGTTCATACCACTAGTGATTCTGCTGCTTCAGTGTAGGGGCAAGAAGCTCTGCTAGGAAAGAAATGCAATAATCAAGTCTAAAGGCTACAAGGATGTGAATTTTTCTCAGGCTTTTTTTCTCAGGCTTTTCTGAGACTGAGCTGTGGTTTGTCTGGCCTTTAGCATGCTGAGGTGTTCTATTTAAAAAAAAAAAACAAAAACAAAAACCAAAAACAAACAATCAACCCAAAAAAACCCAGTGATTTTCAAAGTAAGTAGTTTTTTCGTCAGCAAGAATTTTGTCTTTTCCAAGTTGAGAATTACACCTCTCCTTGAGAATCCTTAGAAACCATCGTGAAGTAATGTAATACCTGCTGCCTGCTGCATCCCCCAGGGTCGGCTGTTGCTCCATTCTGACGTGCTGGGTAGGCTAAGCCACTGCAGTTAGCAAAGGAGGGAGAGCATTAAAAGGTCAAAAGGCATCAAGGTGCTTGTAGGCTCTAATTAAAAACCACTGAAAAGAACTATCAGTAATGATACGGACTCACTGTAATACTGGCCTTTGCCAAGGTCTCACCTGAAGCATGCATTTACAGAGAGAATTAAATGCTAGCGTGCAGCCCGGAATTGTTTGTCGTCCATAGAGACAAAAACCTTCCATGTAGTAGTAAATGGAGAAGTTATGTGTCAGTTAAATTGTTTCATAAAATACAGTGTTGGATTACCTAGCAGTGGAGTCCAAAACTTGGTAGTGATGTTCTAGATAGAGCTAGAGAAGTGTCAATGAAGAAATCATATGATGTAATTGTCGCTTGACCCAGGGGATCTCTTTCAGTTCTGTTTCCTAAGTTTCTAATTCAGAATGATTAAAATGTGACCTTATCTCACACTTACCTTAATACCTAGCTTCCTACATTTATTTTACTGTAATTATGCTCCATCCAGGTTAATGCAAGCAAATGCAAACTCCATGGTCTAGGAAAGAGAAATAGAGACACATTTACAGAATGTGAAATATTAGTGATCCTGAAAAGGATTTCTGTGTCAAAGAAAAGAGACACTGTATGTGAATTCCCAGAGTAATGCTGTGGAGAGGAAAAAAGCCTGATTTTGATTATTAGACCTATAAACAAGTGAGTAAAAGTAATGGAGGGAGTATATTTTCATGTACTGATTTGATGATATCAATGTAAGAACAAATCTGGGTATTTGTGTCCATATTTTTACAGAAGAAGAATTATCATGGGTGGGGAGAGAGCCACAAAAATTGTGTGAAATCTTAGGAAGAAATGTCCTCATCGGTCACTTTATCTTGTCATGGGGAATTTCCTCAGTGTGGGGAAGTCCCTTAGGAGACGGAAATGTCAGGAAATTTAGCAAAAGGAGGCAAAAAAGAACTCATAATATAAAACCAAAATTTGGGAACGCATTTTTTAATAGTGATTAACTTTTGAAAATGCATTCTCCATCGCGTTTTAGGCCTGGTTTAGGAAGGGAGTTTAGTCCAAATTTATGTTAATGATTTAAATATGGAGCAGCTAATTGAAACTACTTGGCATGGTTTAGTGGTGGTTCTAAGTCATCAAATGAAATTCATCACGCCCACCATCACTTGCTCCTCTGCGTAGATGGAGAAGCCCAATGACCTGTCCAAGAACACAGCCATTTATAGGCTTTTGATTCTGGCTGGCTATGAGACTATGTTAATGACAGTAATTCTTAGATCTGTTGTTGAGTTTTCTTATAAAGGGATATCAGAGTGATTACTGCCCTTCCCACCTATCCCTCCTAACAAGCAGAGATGACTTAGACCTTAATTCTTGTTCACGTATTGCTACAGTGGACTGAGGAAGAAGGCTTTTGTGCATATGCCAACACTGCCCAACCTTGACTTTCATAAAACTGGAGATGGGGTATGATACATACTTGCTTATTTATATATATTTCTGCAAATTAACATTTATTATGTTGTTTTTCTGTCTGAAGTTTTCAAAACAAAGTGAAGAGCTGTGTAGTTTTTAAGATTTTTCTTTACAGTACTTATATTCTGAATCATTGTTTGATGTTTTTCTGTAAAGCTCAGAACAAATTGCAGTGCTATTAAAAAAACTAATTTAGGAGGTGAAACAGACTTTCACAGTGTTGCCACCCACAAGTTATATCTTTTTAACTCTGATTCTGTTTTAGTTTTACTGTATATTTAAAAAAAAAAAAAAAAAAGTCAGTGCTAGGGAAGAGGAACCCCGATGAAAGAAGCAGTTCCTGTGTAACAGTGGCTGCTGAGTTGACAAGTCTCCGGAAGCAGGGAGCATCAATTGTTGGTGGTCCAGATATTAGGATTCTCTCTGCGATGTTCTTCCAGAAATGTCGGCTCCATATAATGCCTTTGGAAACAACCAGTAGATTAATGTTAAGACATGCCATTTTGAATGATATTGATGTTATCTCATTCTCCCAATTTCATGAAAAACTGTGAACATACTTATTCAACTTTTTGTGTGTTTCTGATCATCATTTACTCTCTATTTTTGTTTTCATGCCTTAATGATCCTTAATAATTAAAGTAACCTTTCCTCCTTTGTTTGTTTGTTTTAGTTGGATGGGGCAGAGCCGTCTGGGCAGCTGCAAAGTGCTGATGAGGAAGTTGTCTCTGCGGCCTGCCGGCTTGTTTGTGAATGGGCCCAGAAAGTGCTGAGCCAGCCTTTTGATACAGTCTTGGAATTGGCTCGTTTCCTTGTAAAAAGTCACTATATCGGTACCAAGTCAATGGCAGCTTTAACAGTAATGGCAGAGGCACCAGCAGGTAATGAGATAACTTAATGCTGAATGGATGAAATAGGGGATCTTTTTTCAAAGAGTAATAACATCTTGGTTTGAGGAAGCACTTCTCTTCAGGGCAAACTTTAAACACTGACTCTCAGCGTTAAGCATGCATTTACGTGATTTTAGTCCACATTGCTGCAAATTACTTTTCTCGCTGGTAGTCTGGGTAAAGAGATCTGAAAATAAGCAGTGGTCTCAGGTTTAGTTTGTGATTCTCCCATTCCTCCGATGAGGACCCTAGTCTTTTAAAGCACTTCAGGGCATGTGAGTAATTGTGCTGAATTTATGTACTTTGCTAGACCAGGAGTTTGGTGCTGGTACAGTGCTGGTTTGTAGACCAACTGCTGGTGTAGCTGTGTTTCTGTCTGATAACATGCCCTAATTTGGAAACAATTGTGTGTCTTAATTTTCTCTCAAGAGCAGATTTTCTTACAGGAATTTCTGATCTGTCAGGTGCAAATTTTCCTGAGATGTTTGATCAGTGTCAGGTAGTACAGGCATGTCAGCTGCTGTTGTTATTGCTCACGTTAGAAATAAGGGCTTGAGGGGCGTTGAGAGGGACAGTAGAGCCTTCCGTGGGGACAGTTGTGTGACTGAGATTCCAGCACTCCATTTCAAATCTTCGTTAAGGATCAAGGTAAAGAGAAGTGTTATTTTGTATTTTGCTATATCAGATGAATTCCTGTTCTATTCAGTCTGTGGGAAAGCTTACATTTGATGTGGTTGGTTGTACATCTACTTTTGTGTTCTTTGTTTCCCTCTTGATGCTCAAAATCAGTTACTTTAATAATTTGAAGTGTTCTTTTGTGGCTGTGGATGAAGTAAATTACAAAAATGAAGGATGGAGGAGGGAAGTGCAGGTGTACAACATGCCCCTTAGACTTCCCTCTGGCAAGTTCTGCTCAGGCCTGGCCTGTCAAGCAAAATGTGTTTGGATCACGGCAAATCTCTTGACTCAAGACAGGCGATGTCAGATGGAAACTGGTGGTCAGGGCTGTAGGTTGGGGTGATCCCCTTCTGGATCGTGTTCTTTCTCCTTCCAGCTCTCTTTGCTTTATTGCAACTTGGAACTGACAGGTGGCAGTGGCAGGTTTTTCTGCCTGTATGCTCCTTTTCTACCTGTCGTTGCTTGGCTTCATTGGTTCTGCTTGCTGTGCTGCTAGAAGGAACGGTATATGTATATATACAGCTCTTCAACTCATGTAGCTGCTCCCCCTTACTTCCTTCAAGAGAAGATGGATTCCTTCAAGGAAAAGGGAAGCCTCTGTGGCTTGGATAGTCATTTCAGGAGAGGTTTTTTCTAGAATGGCAAATAAAATATTCCCATACCTTGTTATCGCAAGGAACTACAGTGTCTCTCTGCATTAACTGAGGAAAAAGCAAACTTCTACCCTCAAAGAAAAATCTTCTTTTTTTTCTCATAAATGCTACTTGCCTTCAGTATTCAGCCCACATAGATGACTTGTTTTCCGGTAATTGCAATATATTGGGGCATTTCACTGCTCTGTGAATAAGGAATTGTGAAAGCAGAGGCATGTTGCAGTGTTCAAGCTCTCATGGTACATGCAGACTGCTCCTGTGAGGCTGGGCTCCCAGACCACAGTTCCTAAGCATGTAGTGGGTATCTAAAACCAAATACTTGCCTTAAAATGGTGTCGATTGATTTATAATTAAGAGTTATTTTTAAAACTGTGAAACCTGTGAAGTATGAATGAAATGGTGTTAAAGCATTTTTAGAGGGGCAGTTCAACAGTTAGTTGGTCACTGAGAGAGCATGCTAGTCCTCTTGACTGTTAATAAACAAAAGATCATAGATGTGATGTGATTTTTGTAAGGGAAATTGGTACCAGCTGCACAGATGAGACTAACTCCCTGTTGTTCTCCCTGGAAGCACCACTTGCTTGTGATCAGCAAAGGCATTGTCTCTAGAAAAAATTGTCTCCCATTCTAATTTCCATAGTTTTTTTCACCTTTTCCTTCTTTTTTTCTTTTTTCCCCTGGACGCTTCTCTTCTTGCTCTTCTTTCGCCATTATCCCTGATCACACACAGGTTGTGATCAATTTTGATATTATATGCATTGTGTTTAATGCCTTGGCCATTAGAAAATATAATCTGCTCAGAGCTGCTCCTCTGTGACACAGACCCACAGCTTTCTGGAAAGATTTTTCATTTTTAAAGCTGCCTCATAACAAAACAACAACACAGTAGATGATGAATTTTAAAGGTTCATCTAAAACATATCCACTGCCCTCTACTGTCAGTTAAATGAAATGCATTGGGTTTTAGATTTTGCTGACACAAAAGTTGCGATTTGGGATTACTAGAAACAAGATGCTAGTACATAGTATTTTAGCAGCTAATGCCCAGCTTGTCTAACAGATAGAGGTTTTGCCACAAACGTGGAAATAAACTGAAACATGGAATAGATTTGAGCATGAACTGGATGGGAGCACCTCATGGAGGAGGTGTTCCGAGAATGGTTGTGGAGATGCCTGCCATATATTCTGTGTGGTTAGATACAGAAGTGGCACTACAGCAGACAGGGTATGTGTGGTTATAATTCATTCTTCTTCTTTTTATTCAGGAATAAAAGGGATCCCCCAGCCCTCAGCTTTTATACCTACTGCTGAAAGTAATTCCTTTCAACCGCAAGTGAAAACTCTGCCATCTCCTGTTGATGCCAAGCAGCAGCTGCAGCGTAAGATCCAGAAGAAGCAGCAAGAACAGAAACTGCAGTCTCCTTTGCCAGGAGAGTCTCCAGCAAAGAAAACAGAAGGCACTGCAACCAATGGTGTGACCAGTATATCTAATGGAAGTCCTGCAATTCTGTCTCCTCCGCCTATTGGCATTGTTGTGGCAGCTGTCCCCAGCCCGATACCGGTAATGTTCTCCAGCAATTCTCTAGAGAAGCCACCTTATGAAAGGGTTATAAATTGCCAGTAACTAAGCAGTGGTGTCAGTGGGATAGAAAAATGGTGTCTGTTCAAAGGCTTGGGTCCCTTGATGCTTTTCTGTCCCCAATGACTGTGTTATACCACATGAGTTGTGGGATCAATACAACAGCAGCAGAATTCTGATCACATAGCATAGGCCAAGTTCGTCTTTGAAGTCGTTGACAGTGGGATTTCAGCTACAATAATTAGGGTTATATGTGGGAATAATTGCCCTTGAGATGAAGTTTAACCAGGCGAGAGAGCTGACACCGGTTGCGTAGTCTCTGAGCCCCTAATATGGCATCTAAATTGCCTTTCATTGGCCAGGCGCATTTAGTGACAGCAACAATTTTATTTTTGCATGAATGTCTGTAGCATGGAACATCTTTGTCTTTCAGCCATACAAAACTGGGGGGAGGGGAAGGTTATTTGTTTTTAAGATGTTAGCTGTGTTGTCGATTTCAATAGGTAAGCCAATTTTTCTGTCAGATAGTGGGTTTGTATTTAACTCAGTTCTGAAACCTTAACAATGAGCAGTGTTTTGAACACATCCTCTCCTTCTTAACCTTTGTATGTCTGTCTTTTTTATTCCCTGTG